CCTCTGGCCAGGCATGGTGGTGTGGATTAACACATAGTCCATTCACTTTTCTGCCCCAAGCTGTCAGGCTCTGCATTAAGTCCTTGTGCTTCTGGAGCCATGGCCGTGCCGGAGAGCCGTTCATGGGGGGCAACTTGTGACCTTGGTAGGGCATGAAGGACAACCTCTGTCAATTTCATGGTTTAAACTCATTGAAATTAAAATGTCTCTTTCTAGGGCCCAGGAGATAGTGCAAAGATATGGAGGCTCCAGACTTGAATCCCAGTTGTGCATGATCCCCTTCTAGCACTGTTGAAAGTAGACTCCAAGCACCACTGACCGTGGTCCTTCCAGATTGTTTTCTTTTATCAGGTGTATAAAATTGATCTGATTTGCTAACTTTCTGCTCCACACTTTACAGCATCTAGTCCATACTCTTGTCACATGTATTTGGTCTTGGAAAGTATTTTCTTACTCTACCTACTGATCCCTTTCAGGGTGGCATTGAGACATCATATTTCTGACTGTGCATTTCTTCTAATACCCAAAGGAAAGCAATCCCATTTAAACAGGGCAAGTTATGAACGGAACTAGAGGAAGTGAACTTGTTTTTGAGCTGTGAGGAAGGAACAATGCCATGAACATGGTCGCCTTTATGCCCCTGGAAGAGGTTTCCTTGAACGTTTCAAACATTGTCTCATGTACAGCATACTAAACCTCCATAAACAATTTATCTGTATAATTCCTGTTACTGTAGTTCATTATAGATTTTTGGGTTATTTTACTATTGTATAGATTTGTGCTTTATTTCTCTAGCTAATTTTTTACATTCTGTAAGATACTGCCTCCTATCTATTTTGACCAATGAGTCAATCACTTCCATGATCATTTAAATTTACTATAACTAATTTCAAATTTAAGTAAAAGTTATGTACATTCAAAGACACCAATTCTAAGTGTTCCATTTGGTGGGTTTTGATACCTGGTAAGTCTATCACCTCGAAGGAGTCACCATGCCTACATGCTCCAATCTCTCTGTCTCCTCCCTACTGACAGTATCCATACTTTGGAGAGGGAAGGTCCATGGCACCATCAGCTACAGATTCACAAGAATCTAATGGACTGAAGCCTCATTTTGACTGAGCTTCTTCTCCCCATCTATCCTGTTTCCCTGTTTCCCCACACACACACTTCTTTTTTTCCAGTTTACCTTTCCCCAAAGCCTAATACTTACTTTATTTAGGCTTGTAGATGTGTGAACCAGGGGTCCAGCCCACAAGGAAGTTATTGTTCCATTTGTCACCCACCCTCTCCAAAAACTTGATTCCTGTATCTCTTTTCCACTTCTTTTTTCTGAGCAGACAAGACGGTGACTTTGAGGGTAGGGGTTGCCATCTTCCGGCTGTAAGCAGGTTGCCAGTAGAGAGCTCTCTAGGTACATCCCAGTGTCTCTCACTTGGTCTGCTCATGGCAGAAGACCCAGTGGACCTTGGCAGTCACAGTTGTGGTGTTTGCCGGAGCTATCCTTGGTGCTTATACAACATCTTTTCAGTTATGGTGCTCGCCAGAAACTGCACCCCTTGCTGTCTGGGGTAGCTGGGAATTGCTGTGGTGCCAGGAATGATGCAGGCAGAGCTGCCAGGCTCAACAGCAGCCGACCAGGATCCTACTTGGTGTATGTTGTTTTTCTTTTTTCCTCAATAAATCTATTTATTGAATCACCGTGAGAGCAGTTACAAAGCTTTCGAGTTTAAGTCTTGGTCATACAATGATGAAACACCTGTCCCTTCACCAGTGCACGTTTTCCACCACCAAAAACCCCAGTATACCCCTCTGTCCCACACCCTCCCCCTACCTGTGGGGCAGATGATTTCCACATTATTCTCTCTCTACTTTGATTACATTCAATATTTCAACACCAGACCCACCATTATTATTTGGGATTTTACCCCAACACTCAGATCTGCTGAAAAGGCAACATTAGACAATTTGTTTTCTATTGCTGATTATGAATTGCATATGATGTTTCATGGCTGTGGTAGTGGCCATGTGATTTTGGAATTCTGAAATTTTATTTTTTTATGTAGGAGTACTGCTATTTATTCAGCCACTGATTAGCTGATTGAATTGGACATGAACTCCACCTTACTTTTTTTCATAATTTTATTTATTTCTTTTTCTTCTTATATTTATTTATTGAATCACTGTGGGAAAAGTTACAAAGTTTTCAGGTTTAAGTCTCAGTCATACAATGATCAAACACCTTTCCCTTCACCACTCATTTTTCACCACCAAGAATCCCAATATACCCCCCTCCAACCCCTCCCAATGCCTGTGAGGCAGATGATTTCTAATTAACTCTTCTCTACATTGATTACATTCATTATTTTGACAAAAGATGAACCATTATTGTTTAGAATTCCCCCCCCCAACAATCAGAATTGCTGAAAGGGCATTGTGAAATACTTTGTCTTCTATAGCTAGTTATGAAAATCATATAATGTTGCGTGGCCACACAGATTTTGAATTTCTGCAAAGAGCCAGACAATTATGAGATTGGTTTCTGTGCGTCTGGTGTTATGGCTGTGCCAGAGAGCCGCTCATGAGGGGCAACTCGTGACCTCAGTAGGGTGTGAAGGACAAACCGGTACCACCTCACTTCCCATGAGACTGCAGTTGCCCCATCACCACTGGCTCATACCTGGCTTTCCTATAAGCTCTGAGGCGGGGGCCACCTTGCTGCAATGGGGGGAGGGAGGGAGGAAAGGTGGAAGGGAGCAACACCCTTTCCCTCCCGGGGAGGCATGGTGCCGTAGTTTAATGCATGGTTCATTCACTTTTCTGCAGCAAGCTGATGGGCTCCATATTAAGTCCTTTTGCCTCTAGACCCATGGCCATGCCAGAGAGCCACTTGTGGGAGCCAACTCGTGACCTCAGTAGGGCATGAAGGACAAACTGGTACCACCTCCCTTCCCATGAGGCTGCAGTTGCCCGGTCTCCGCCCGCTCATACCTGGCTTTCCAATAAGCTCTGAGGTGGCATACACCTTGCTACCAGGGGGGAAAAAGGTGGAAGGGGGCAACATCCTTTCCCTCTTGGGAAGGCGTGGTGCCGTAGTTTAACACATGGTCCATTCAGTTTTCTGCTGTATGCTGCTGAGCTCTGGATTAAGTCTTTTTGCCTCTGGAGTCATGGCCATGCTGGAGATCCACTTGTGGGGGGCAACTCTTGACCTCAGTAGGGCGTGAAGAACGAGCCAGTACCACCCCCTTCCCATGTTGCCCCGTCACCGCAGGCTCATACCTGACTTTCCAATAAGCTCTGAGGCAGCGGCAACCTTGTATGCAGTCCAGATGCATTTCTACCAAAAGTCACTGGGTTTTGAGATTTGTTTCTGAGTCTCTGGGATCATGGCGTTAAGCAGTTTGATAAGGAACCAGAGAGGCCATGCCTCCAATTATATAGCTGAGCCGGAGGTGGTTTGTGGGTGTGTCTCCCACATACCTAACTTTTGGCCATTTATTTTCTTGGTAAACTTTACCCCAAGTTTTTGGCGTCTGGCCAAAGGCACAGCAACAATTTTGGGGTACCTGAAAGTCTGACGGTGCCATCAGGCTGCTGATGCATTTGCCTCACAGGTACAGATTGACCTGCTGGCAACACCATACCCCCTCCCCAACACTTCTTGACCAATAACTTGAGCATGAATATATGTCCAGATTCTGCTTTTAGAGAGTCTAACCTAAGGCAGTCAAGTTGGGCCTGGAAACAAAGATCTTGAGGATGAGACTGACTAAAGGATGAGTGCATTGCTGCTGCGTGGGTCCTGCCCATTCTTTCCAATGAGAGGGGGAAATGGCTGATAACTGCCACTGTGAAAGCATTTGTTGAAACAATATGAAGAGAAAATGGTCAAGAGAGTTAGCAGTTGAATGGATAGTAAAGTCCAGAGCTGAACATTGTCAGTGATACTCATCGTGCTGTATGAAAAATGTGTTAAACTTTTGTAACTGCTTGTCTTTCACAATCTATAAAGCAAGCCCGGTGAAGACAGGCTTTTCCTCCATATAGTTATATCATTAGGCAATATACTGTAATATGCCTGATTTTGATGGTATTGTTGACACATGAGTTATTTCATTACATATTTAAATAAATATATATTCATGAAGAGAAAAAAAGAAAAATGTGTTGAGTCTTTGAGAATGAGACTCAGAATAGAGGTGTCCGAGATAGATTTTCAGTTTCATGCCCACAAAATGGAGTTTCAGAGAAAGTAGTTTGTTGGGGAGATAGTCCTAAGGAGGGCAGCAGGGTTCCTGGAGGATGGAGTCAGAATAATTTAAGAGAATAATTTCAGGCCACTGGATACTGTTATCAGAGGAGTTCTGGAAAATAGAACAACATATCTCCCTTCAAGGAAAAGAGCTGGACCTTTTCCCACCAAGCCCATTCCTGGCTGAGCTAAGTCTAAACTCCTCCGCAACCAGACCACCCACTGCTGTTCTCAGCAGAACCTACTTGTGCAGAGTTCTCACTGCCTATGTCGAAACTATCTTCTAGATAGTTTGAGGTTGAGGAACACTGGGGGATGAAGTCGAAACCTGACGTGACCTTCAGTGATCAACTCTACCTGCAGACAAGAGCAACAACTGACAGCTAATGATGGCAATTCAAAGAGGAAAATAAACAGAAATGCTGTCTTTATATTTTTACGGGGAATTACAATTTATTTTAGAAAAGAACAATTTCACATGAGAACATAGACATACATCAACTTGTATGACATGTGGGTTCACAAGCTCCATAGAAAATTCCATTTGTTTCATTTGAAGGAGAGAGCCAGGAGGATGTGGTATATTTAGGGGTTAGAATCAGTTTGAGTTCAGAAGAAACCAAGAGTTTACAAGTGCTCTCATTTTTCAGTACTGAGTAGGACTACACAGGGAAGTGGGTTGACAGAGTGCAGGTGGGCACCGGTCAGGGTGCTCAGCAGCAAGAGGCACTGGAGCAGGCTGGGCGGCAGCAGGTGGTCTGGCAGCAGATGGGGCGGCAGCAGCTGGAGATGCAGCAGGTGGGTCTGCAGCAGCTGGAGCCACCGCAGGAGGAGCCACAGCAAGAGGGACGGCAGCAACTGATAGAAATGCAACAGCTGGGGCGGCAGCAGCTGGAACCACCGCAGCTAGGGCGGCAGCAGCTGGGGATGCAACAGAGAGGGCGGTAGTAGCAGCTAGGGCGGCAGCAGCTACTGGGGCGGCAGCAGCAGCTGGGACGGCAGCAGCTGGGGCGGTAGCAGTAGCTGGGGCGGCAGCAGCAGCTGGGGCGGCAGCAGCAGCTGGGGCGATAGCAGCAGCTGGGGCGGCAGCAGCTGGGACGGCAGCACACAGACTGGCAGCAGATGGGCCGGCAGCACACAGACTGGCAGCACAGGGGTCTGCAGCAGCTGGGCCGGCAGCAGCAACTCTCTTCACAGCTCTGCTCAGAGCAGACGGAGCCACAACACGAGTTGACCATGGTGTCAGAGGGGGGGAGGTTCTGGGTGGGTTTCCAGGAAGGTGGACTGAGAAGTTTGGAGTCTCCTCCCCCCACCTTCCCTTTTATACCCTGCTAAGGGGCTTGCTGTCATTGGAAGCACCTGCATTTCCTTGTCACTGTTTGTCTCAATGGATAGGCTATTATCAAATTAAGCAAGTTTGTTTTCCAGGTTCAACATTTCAAGAATGGATGGGAAAGACTGTTTCCTTTTCCTGATGGGTTGGGAACTTCCCTTCTGTGGTCATGAGTCATCATTTCTGTGATTTCTTGCTCTTATTTCCTCAAGGAATGCTGTCACCTGATATCTGCTTACAACCTTTGGTCTCATTTGAAAATTTTATCATGTCAACTCTTGGTGATAATGATGGTGAAAGGCTCAGAGTTTTCCTGCTTAAAACATAAAGATGCATTTCCGTTTCATAGCTCATTTCTTGTTATCAGGGATTTGAAGGTGAGCAAGTGCACTCTGACCCTAGGGGAAAAAGTCTTATTAAGTTTTACTTCAGCCCCCACTGCAAACAGTGACCCATTTTCTGGACTATCTAAAGGGAAACAAGTAATAGTTTAAAAGAGGAAAACAAGCTGTGGAACTTTTGTTCACTTCTACTTATTGAGAGATACAGATTATATTTCTTTATTGAAATATAAATAATTTTGATTTAATGTATATATTTTAAGGTTTATATACCATACACTCATGATACCATCAGAGCAATAAAATAAGTATATCCACTATCTCCATATACTTTATTATGATCCTTTGACTTTTTGTTTTCTCTCTCTTTCTCTCCCACCCCCCCAACTCTTTCTCTGTAGAGGAGAGTTGTGCCACACCTGGCAGTGCTCAGTGTTTACTTCTGGCTCTGAGCTCAGGCATAACTCCTGGCCAGGTTCAATGGACCATATGAAGTCCCAGGGATCAAATTGGATTGGTTCTAAGCTAGGCAAGTGGCTAGCCAAAGTACTATGGCTCTGACCCCTGTCCTCTTGTTAATTTATTTTTTCTGATAAAAAATAAAATACACAGCTCTATATCCACATTAATAACAAGTTTTAAGTATACCAAACTCTCACTAACTGTACATTTTTATTATAAAAAAATCTAGAATTTACTCATATAGTTTGCTGTAATTTTATACCCATTGAACAAAAGCTACCCATTTTCCCCATGACTGAAAACCACCATTTTTCTCTACTTCTTTGAATCTATTTAAAATATTTTCTGTAAGTGGAATTAGAAAGTTTTGTTCCTTAGTGACTGAACTTTATTTGGCCTAATGTCTTCTGGACTTATCCATGATATTGCAAAGAGTTATTTCCCTCTTTCTTCTAAAAGCAGAACAGTATTCTATGTATTTGCATATTTTCTTATCTTTCTGTTACTGGACATTTGGTTATTTTTTTATCTTGGATACTGTGGATAATTCTTCAATAACAACATCAGTACAGATCTATATTTGAAAGTCATCTAATTTTTTTGACATCTATGCACAGCTGAGATGTTGGATTTTATAAGCATTCTATATTTAATTTTTAGGGAACCTGCATACATTTTTTCTATACTCAATGACACCGTTTTATATTCCCATCACGGAACATAAAGTGTTCGCTTCTCCACATCATCATTAACACTTCGTTATTTTATTATTGTTGGTGTTATCTATCCTTAAAAGTGTGAGTGGATGTCTCATTTTCTCTGATAACAATTGTATAAACATAGTTTTGGCACTTCTTAGAGAAAGTGGTTTCAGAGAACTAGAAATTCCATCCAACAGCATAATCGTAAGTTTCAGTCTACTGCTCTTCTTTATTGGGCTGATAATCCTTCTGACTCTGACTTTTTCTCTTTGGGACTTTGATAGAGTCCAGTGACTTTCCTTTTTCCCAGGTTTACATGCTAGCCTGAGTTATACTGCCTAGTATCCTTGCCTTTACTCATGCCCTAGTATCTATCACAATTGAATTGCTGAATTTTGAAAAGGCCTTCTTTTCTTTTCTTTTTTTTTCATTATTCAAGTTATTGATCAGATTTTTCCTTTCTGTTTTTATTTTCAAGGAGGAAACAGAAGTTTCAGAACATACTTATATACATAAATATGTATAACTAAATATACTAATGTATTGGAATGCAGATTTCAATGATGCACACATGCCCAACAAATGACCAGTTGACTAATGTTGAAAAAAATGAGTGTAGTTCCATTTCAGCAGTTGAACATATAGACACTTCCCTTTGGGGATTGAGGAATGCTCAATCCTGACATGATCTTTTATCCCTTCTATCACCTTGGGTGTCATTTTCAGCATTAGGATGTTTTTGAGTAGCCATCTGTGTTGTTAGTGGTGGTCTTTCTAAGCGTTCTTAATTCAACCTAATTGAGTTTTCGTAAGCTAAGCTTAGCAAAGCATATAAAATATGAAGTCACAAAGTTGTGGGAGATTAAAATGTTGAAAGATCATGATCCCAAGTGCTTTGGATTTCCTTGCATTAGAGACTAATTTACACTATGAGATGCCATAGTCGTTCAAAGAATGAAGAGGAGTTGTTTTGCATGATGATGCATGATACCCAAGAAGAGTCTATGTGTATTTCTTAGGTCCATCTAGTCGAAACCTTCATATACTACAAGATCACATTCACTCTAATTGCCTCTTCCTAATTATAATATCACCAAAATGAGCCAGTTACAACTGGTATCAGGTAGAACAGAAGATTGAGAACTGCTGGTCTGTAAATAGTCACAGGACATTTTGTCATAAAAAGGATATAAGCATTTCACACGTTAGTCATCTCACCACAAACCCACATGTATTAATGACAGCCCCTTACTGTCATTAAATCAGGAGGCAAGCATTGACACATTCATCACAGTGGGATACTTTAAAAAAAAAAAAAAGAAAAGACAAATGAAAAGACATGCTAATCCTCTCTGAGCATTCAGAACACTCAGCCACTAAAAAGTGCTTGGAGTTCAGAGTTACATAAAAGAGTTTAGGAAAATGTGGGAAAGTATTAAAAGTACTGGGATGGTGCCATCAGGACCAGAGAGGACCAGATGAAACAAAGCTGCCTTCATGATTAAGGAAGGAAGGTTAGTGTGCGAGAGCTAGTTTTGCAGAGAAATCTCAAAACCAAAAAGGGGAAATCAGATAAAATGATGGATGGTTTCTGCCCTGTTAAAGTCATAGGTCCAGTAAAGCAAATGCCATATGCTGCTTCCACCCATTCTCTCATCCTCATCTAGTTTCTGCTACTGCCCTGACCCCAACTTCCACATTCACATAATTAAAAAATAGCAACTTGGGACTTTGGATTGAACTCTGCTTGGTTGTTAGGATGATGTCTGAACCTGCCTCGTAAGCTCTGACGAACTCATATATAGCATCACTTGATCACTTGACATCCCGTTACTCATCGATTTGCTCGAGTGGGTGCCAGTAATGTCTCCATTTATCTCTGTCACGTGCTAGTGTAGCCCAATGGTGCCTGCTCGTTCTAGGAACACAAAGAGCCTAAAACTGATCATTCAGGGTCTTGACGAAGAAGTCTGACCATCTCGTAGGTGGGCGGCCATGCGGGCTTTTGACATCCCGTGGAATCCAGTCGGTAACAGTTCTAGTCCAGTAGTCATCTCCAAATCTCATTACATGTCCAGCCCATCTGATTTTCGATGCCTTGGCAAATGACATAGCGTCCCTGACTCTTGACCATCGACAGAGGTTGGAACTTCGGATTCTTTTTCTCATTTGAGTGAAACGTGATACTCCAGGCATAGTTCTTTCGATTCCTCTTTGGGAGACCCGAATAGCGTTCTCATCCTGTTTTGGTAAGGCCCAGGTCTCTGAGGCATATATTAATGCAGGAAGAACAGTGGAACCGAAGAGATGTGCCTAGAACCGGAGGATCTTCGTCCTCTTAGCTATTTCTTCGACTCTCTCGAAGGCGTCCCAAGAAGCCGCTCTCTTCCTCCTGTGCAACTCAGGTGCCAGGTCATTCATCATGTTGACTTCTCAACCTAGGTACACATAACTGTTGCATTTGGAGATGGTTGTTCCATTGAGAGGGAATGGAGCGTCAGGAATGAGGCTGTTTCTCATAAACATTGTCTTCTTGAGATTCAGCTGTAGTCTGACCTTTCCACACTCACGGTCGAAGCATTTGTGCCACTTGGCTAATGTTTGGTGTTATTAGAACGATGTCATCAGCAAAGTGGAGGTGGTGTAGTGGCCAACCGTCTATCTTCAGTCCCATTCCTTCCTATTCCAGTCGTCACATGACGTTCTCGAGGGTGGCACTGAAGAGTTTTGGTAAAATGGTATCACCCTGCCAAACCCTCTCTTGACATGGATCACTTCTTTGTAGAATGGTGAGATCCTGGTAGTGAATCCTTAATACAGTTTACAGTATCCTGATGTATTGAGTTTGAATGCCCTGATTGGCTAGGGCTTTGATGACCGCTTCTGTCTCAACAGAATCAAAGGCCTTCTTTAAATCAATGAATGTTAGACAGAGCGGCATTTTGAACTCCTGAGAAACCTCAATGAGCTTGGTTATAGTGTGGATATGGTTAATTGTGCTGAATCCTTTTGGGAAAACAGCTTGCTTGCATGGTTGTCCTTCATCTAGTGTTCTGTCAGTCCTATTCAGGATGACTCAAGCGAACAGTTTGTAGATGACAGACAACAAGCAGATCAGGAGATAGTTGCCAATGTCATGGATGTCTCCCTTCTTGTACAGTAGTACAGTCCTGCTGGTTTTCCATTGGGACGGAACCTTGCATTCAGACAGGTAGCATGTAAAGAGCTGAGCCAGCGCATTGATGAGTATTGATGGCAGGTTCTTCAGGTGTTCAGGTCTGACCTTGTCTGAGTCAGGTGCTATTTGTTTCTTTACTGACGAAATGGCATGTCAGATTTTGGAAGGGAGAACATTGGGTATGACATATTCATCCTGCGGAATTTGGTATGTGGGCAGGTGG